TCTAGCTTGGACCTGTGCAGACCCTGGGCATGCTGCCATAGTCTCTTGTGTTCATATGCACATTAGTCTTATTGTGTCTGGAAAGAAATGTTTCCTTGGTGTTTTCCACCCTATTGGCTCTTAAAGTCTTTCTGATTCCTCTTCTACAAACTTCCTTGAGGCCTGAGGAGAGATGTTAGGTGGAGGCATCTCATTTAAGACTGGGTGCTCCAAGGTCTTCAACTCTGCATATAGTCCAGCTATGGGTTTCTGTATTCATTTCTATCTACTGAAGGCATAAGCTTCTCTGATGACGTCTGAGGAAGACAGTCATCTATGGGTATAGCAGAGTGCCATTAGGAGTCATTATTTTGCCAAATTGTTTGAGCAGAACAATTGAATTCAGTTTTCCCCTAAGTTCATGATCTATCTAGTTCCAGATTCTTGCCCATCTGAGCATGTTAAGCCTGTATTTCCCTTGACTGAGTGGGCCTTAAATCCAATCACATAGTGCTTAGTTACTCCTGCAACTTTTGTTTGTCTCTATTGCACCAGCAGACAGGTCACCATTGTAGACCACAGGGTTTGTAGCAGGGTTGGTATTTACCTTTCTCCTTTTACAGTGTCAGCACACCTCTTCAGCTGTTTTTCATCAATGCGACTCCACCCCCCGTAATGGAACAGAGAATGTTAGTCTAAGGGAACAAGAACGAGAAGCCCAGCAGACTCTGGAAACTTTCCTTTATCTCCGGTTATTTTCATTTTCTCATTCACAGACATCCCTGAGAGTCTAGTTTTGCTTAAACTATCTCTTCTTCAGTTTTCCTTTGCCCATTGTTTGTTCAGCTACTTTTTGTTTCTCATTAACATTGTCATGCTTTCCAAAGTTAATCGGGTGTTTGTACTGACTTAGAAACTAGAAGAAAATGCCTAAGAAAGATGTGATGGCAGAGAACTTGGGCTATAGCTCAGTTGTAAAGTGCCTCAAATTTGTAAAGCCCTGGATTTAAGGCCAGCCTTATAAAGCCAAGATTTTGTGAGACAGTGAGAATTTTCTTAGGCCCCATATGTAATTCTAAAATTGTTGTCTAAAACACATCACAACAAAACAAAATGCATGCAGAAGTGATTAGAGGTCAGAAGTGGGAGAGGCCCAACTGGAATGCTGTGCTAAGAAGTTTTATACTTCATGAAAATGAAAATATTGGTGTTGAATCAGGAAGGGTCAAGATCATATTTACATAGTTTAACTGTTATGTAACCTTTATTGTATGATATTTAAGCTTTATGGCACCTGCTTGCATAATTCCTCTGAGGTCCTTGTAGATAAACCAGTGAGTTTACAGACCAACTCTTTTGGTAAAATTTCTGAAAGAAAGACACTTTAGTCACAGCTGTTTCTTTAAACTGTAACATAACTCCGTTCACTAGGCTGTGGGCATTTTTGGAAACTAGCACAAGACAGTGCAGGACTTCTTAGGCAGCATGTTAAGGTAGTCTTCAATCATACTGGATAGAGCTAAGTGTGATTGTAAGACTAAAAAAAAAATTAGAGGTGAAATGGGTACCTTTGGCAGACCCTGACGAGGTATGCCACTAAGCAAACATGCCAGGTGCAACAGTTAGTGCAAGAGGTTTGTTGGGGTGGGGGAGTGAAAGGCTGTGTTGGAGTGGACACACACACACACACACACACACACACACACACACACACACACACACACGAGAGAGCTAGGCAGATGGACAGAGAGGCAAGAGGAAGAAGTGAGGCAAGGGAGGTAAAAGAGGAGAGAGCTAGCTGTGCTCTTGTGGGCACTTTTAAAGGGTGTACATGTCACGTAGCTGATGGTGGAAAGGCACCTGATGGCAGGTGATGATGTAACTGCTTTGGTGGTAGAGGCAGGCTGTAGCGGAAACTAACAGGGATGCTTAGTTTTGGTCAGCTTGACACAGACGAGAGTCACATGGGAAGAGGGAACCTCAGCTGAGGAATCGCTTCCACTGGCCTGTAGGCAAGTCTGTAGGGTACTTTCTTGACTGATGATCAATGTGGGAAAGCCCAGCTCCTTACACAAGGTGCTACAGCTGCGAAGGTGGTCCTGGGTTATTAAAAAAAAAAAAAAAAGAAGGCTGGGAAAGTCATAGATAACAAACCAGTAAGCAGTGTTCCTCGATTGTTTCCACTTCAGTTTCTGCCTCCAGGTTCCTGCCTTGGCTTCCCTTGAGGATAGACTGTAAAGTATAAGATAAATGGACCCTTCCTTCCCCCAGCTTGCTTTTGGGTGGTTCTGTTTGTCACAGAAACAGGAAAACAAATTCAAACACTAAGTTATTGCTATAGTCACTTGTGGGACAGAATTGGCCTCTGGTAATACTCTTCATGTCTGTGGTGTTCATCCATCAGAAGTTGTAATACGTCTGTTAGGACAAAGGGCAAACTGCCATGAATGTGTATCGGCGACTTCATATTTACTTTACAAACTTCACATTGGGACCTCTACCTGGAGCAAGGCCAGACAGAGGCCAACAGCTATTAGTAAAAACTCTCACTCTGGATAGAGATGAAGATCTGAAACCTGTTAGTGGCAATGGGACAGGAATGTCAAAATACAAGAAAAGTGTGGAGAAGCCAATTTACAGCACTCGCAGTGGCTCTGACACGGAAGCGTATTCGTGGTGACAGGAAATTAGAACTGTTAAGGATGAAAGTAATTTGTGGCTTGTCTCTCCTCTCCTCCCGTCCTGTCCCCCCCCCCCCCCATCCTCTGCGTGCATGCAGCAAGTAGGGGAACACACATTGGTCTATGAATCACTAAGGGGATGTACTATTTACCAATCTCTGGGGTTCACCAATAGGCCTTTCCTGGCCCTCGTTTTCCAGCCCTAAGGCATTAACTACAGCCGTTTCCTGCAGCCTGTGGAACCCCAGGGACTCATGGGTGCAGGCATTCTGGGGCTTAGAGCTGGCCTCTGAATGGGGGACCTTATTCCTTTGAGTCTCTGCATTTCTTCAAACTGCCTCATGTTCCCCAGTAAGAGAGCCTTTCCCCCTCACCGAGTCCCTCCCCCCCTAAACTCCACCACCCTCTCCGGAAGTCTGCAGCACTTTCCCCAGGGCTCAGTGGGTCTCCAGGCACTAAGGAGGCCCTAATGAAGATGAGTCAGCGCTGAGTTCCCATCTGGTGAATGCATGGCTCATTTACCTCTGGTGTTTTGAGCAAACCCAAAGTGCTTCGTGGCTGTATTGAAAGTCTGCGGCGACTTTTGGTTTCTATATATATGAACTTGAAATTAAGGGAGAACGTTCTCAACCGGTAAGCTGCTTACTTCTGAAGCCAATTTTCTTCAAGGAAAAGCAGCAGAATAATGGCATCCTCCTGCAGTTCCCACTGGTGACCACAGTGCTGAGTAAGCAAGACATTTGCCCTGTATTGCCCCTAAGCTCTCGTTGGTGATCCAAATAGCTGAAACAAACAAACAAACAAACAAAACCAACCAACCAACCAAACAAACAAACAAAAACTGAACTCAATATTTCTAGCAATTTTGACATAAATAAAAATAGATATTTTGGTTCATTTATGCTTTATAATGAGGCATTCGAGGGAGAATACTAAAATGTAGCCAATAACAATCCAGTGGGAAACTTCATGATGCTGGTCATGAGAGGTGTGGATATGAAGGGCTGAAATTATTCCAGTGATAAACTTTATCCTCGTTTCCTCTCATCCCTTCAACCTGTTCTCCACCTTAACATTTCTTCCTTTGCAATGTTTGCCTCGTTTACCTTCTATTGCTGTGATAAACAACATGGACAAAAGCAGTTCATGTTGGCTTGTATATCCCAGGTCACAGTCCATCACTGAGGGAACTCAAGGCAGGAGCCTGCAGACAGGAACTGCAGCAGAGACCATGGAGGGACACTGCTTACTGGCTTGCTTGCCATGTTTTTCTCAACTTGCTTTCTTGGGCAGCCCAGGACCACCTGCTCAGGGGTGATACCACCACACTGGGCTAGGTCCTCATTAATCAAGAAAGTGCCCCACACTCTTGCCAATCATGCAATCTGAGTCAATCCCATAGAAGCATGTTTTTCTCAGTTGAGGTTCCCTCTTCACTGATGACCCTGGCTTGTGTCAAGTCGACCAAAACAAAACAAAGCAAAACAAAACAAAAACAAAACAATCCCCCCAAAACAACCCAGCAAATATTGTAGAATTTATTATAGCTATCATTCATTGACTGTCATGTATACTAAGTCAGAAACATAGATAGATATGACAGATAAGTGTGTGTCTATCCACTATGTCAGAATTTATTGAATAAGAGACATTTATAACATTGATGTTGTTGGCAGTAGTTTGCCAACAACTTTTAATAGCTGATCAAAGCAAGCAAAGGTTCTTTTATCCTAATCTTAGCTACATAACTAACCCCTGTGTCATACATTTTACATCACATTTTAAATATCCACATAACGATTATCTATGTATTTATGTAACTTATAGAATGTCAGTGGAAAGAGAAGCCTTTTCTTCTGTTACCTCCCTAGTTACCCCAACCTTTTTGACCTCCCACCAGAGCATGAGAATTTTAACAGTAGAAATTTTAGCAGTAGAAAGAAATGAGACTAACACTTGACTATGATTCACTTTAAAGAAGATATTTCTGGGGGCAGATGTTATTTAGAGTCAAGATTTTTTGCTATGTTCAAGACCATAATATTGTCTGGTTTAGTCAATCTTCAGCTATTTGCTGAATACCTTTTATGTGCCATATACTACAAGAAGGGGCCAAAGATTGTGAAAGTACAAAGTCCTTATCTTTGTAACCTGAAAAAGATGAGTGTATGCTGGGTTTGTCCTCCCATGATTCTTCACTGAGTAAATCTGAGTTAAACCTAAGTGGGTAGTGTGAACAACTCAGGACATTGTTTACATTTGTCTGATGTCTGGGGCAGAACACGATTAGAAAATGTAAAGGCTCAGATGAATGTTTTTCTCTTTCTTTTTTTATTATAGGGGTGTGATGAAAGTTGATATAAATCTTCAGAAAGTGGACATTGACCAATGTTCGAGTGATGGCTGGTTTTCAGGAACCCACAAATGCCATCTTAACAATTCAGAGGTAAGAATATAAGGATTAGATCTTCTGAAATTGGAAACAAAGATTTGGATGGTTCTCATATATGTTTTATGTGTGTGGGGGAATGACCACGTGCATCACAGGGAGAAGAAAGGCATATGCACAGATTTCAGCTCTGTCAAATGAATTGAAAAAGGGGAGAAGATAACATTTTTGCAAAGAAATTGTTTTGGGAATTCTTAAGACAAGGCTAAAAGTAAGGTTGTGGCTAAAATTCAACTTTAATTAAAGGCTGATGTCATTCTTCAAAATGAGTTAGAAATGTACAACAATTGGGAAATGAGAAAACAGTCCCAGTGGGACCAAACAGAACAAGTATCTTTTAATGCACTGTGATGCTTATTGTCACATTTGTGGGATGCATTCAAACATGATGCCATATGCTAAAATGTAGTAGGGCAGGTATGGCAGGACAATTTGGAAAACAAGGAGAAAATTATATGCAGGCATTTGGAAAGGAAGGGATTGGTTAAGGTTGTATTTTCCAAACTTTCTACTCCCACCCATGCTTGATTGGGTGGGATTCTGGCTGATAAAGAACAGAGATTATACTTCTGCAAAAGACCCATCTTTTTTTGTTCAGGAAACAATGACAACAGCAATGATCCCTGTCAGTTGGCCTTTGCAACTTCAAAAAAGAAATGTGACTAAAGAGTATCTTCTCACTTATCTGTCTCTAAGGTTAAAAAAATGCTGTGGAAAAAAAACATATAATTCCAGTTTTCTGATCTTTAACGCTTAGAACATCCCAATGTTGACTCCATAAATTTGTATGAGAAGTTGACTCAGTTTATTTTAAACAGGAAGTTGTTTCTTTTTCTTTTTAAATTTTTTCTTATTTTACATATTGATCTCAGTTCCCTCTCTTCCTTCCTTCCCTCCCTTCCCCCCACCCCTCCCCATCAACAAAATCTGTCAAGTCATTTGGAGTAGGGACTAGGCCCTTCCTCCTGCCTCTAGGTTAAGGGACTATCCCTCCATGGGGAATGTGCTCCCAAAGTCCTTTTGTGCACCAGGGATACATCCTGGTTCCACTGTCAGAGGTCCCTTAGACTGCCCAGGCCTTCTAACTGAGACCCATGTTCAGGGGGTCTGAGTTGGTTCAATGCTGGTTTCCCAGCTATCAGTCTGGGAATCCATTAGCTCCTCCTTGTTCAGGTCAGCTGTCTCTGTGGGTTTCTGTAGCCTGGTCTTGCCCCCATTTTCTTATCACTCCTCCCTCTCTGCAACTGGATCAGGATGGTGTTTCTACAAAGTCATAAATAACATCTTTCATTTGATCTTTTTCCAATCGTGAATAGTTGTGCATGGTGCATCTATGTGGTTTCAAAGCAAGGCTATTAAGCCAGAAGGATGTTTTCCGTTAAGTACTTCTTTGTGTCATTGTAGTTATAGGTACACAGGTATATGTATGAATATATGTGGATATAATCCCCTCACATGTGCACCATGTGCACACTCAGCAACACTGTGCTATTACATATCACTCAGACACAACTAAGATCACTATACTCCCCCAAATCTCCCAAAGTCCTATACTTGCCTACACTTCACACATCCCTTTACCCATTGCCATTCTCTTTATCACAATATCCTTCAATTCTCCCTCCCCAAGTACCCCAATACCTCTATACTCGTCCACGTCCCTGGAAATCCAATGGTTCTCAACCTTCCGAATGCTGTGGCCCATTAATACAGTTCTTCTGCATGTTGTAGTGACCTCCAACCATAAACTGCTACTTTGTAACTATAATTTTGCTGGTGTTATGAATTGTAATATAAATATCTGATATACAGGATGGTCTTAGGCAATCCCCAAAAGGTCATGACCCACAGGTTGAGAACTGCTGCTCTAACTCTCTCTCCCTGCCATCATATTCCCATAATGCTTTTTCACCTCTTTGGTTCCTCACACATGTTCCCAAATCTCCTTCATGTCTGTACATCCCCACATAACCAGCCCTCTGTAGCTCCCTTTTTACCTGAACCCCATACCTGACTGGAACTCAAGAGGTATGTGAGTCCTTTTGCTTTGGTAAAACCTTCTGTCCCTATTTGGTTATCTTATGATTTTGTATATTTCTGAGGCTTTACTTCCCCTTGGATGACTCTGGCAATTTCAAACATATAAATTTCAATAGATGATTGGTGATTGTCCCTAGTTTGATTATTATCTCCATGGCAATTGCATATGGCCACTTTGCATTGTCTTTAGCTAGCATGGACTATTTTTTTTTCCATACTGGGTGTCCTACTATGGTTACTGGTCTAAGAGTGTTCACTTCTATGCAACCTCATCTTGGTGTGGGTGCTGGATTCAACAGAGCATCTATATAGAAATAGGAAGATAGACCCTGTTTAACTTGTAATAATCTTTGAGTCATTTTTTGTTTCTTTATAGGACTCATTTTTTAACTGGATGGTTTTATTACCAATAACTACTTTTAGAAGGTTGATTTACTTTCATTGCATTAGCAATATTAATTTTCTGAGTCTTGTATATTTTTAGAGCTTTCAAACAAATTATTTCAAGAAACAATACAGTTTTCTATTCCAATGAACAGCGATTGGATTGAAATATATGACTTTTAGAATTATATATAGAAGCATTATATTTACTCATTTTTTTTCTCATGGCAAAACTTGAAACGCACATTCTTTAGAACAATTGACAATTCAATGACTTATTTGAAAATGTTGTAGCAAGAAGCTTGGTGCTCCAAAAGTAATATCAAGAAGCTGAAATGAGGGTCCAAAGAGAGGGCTTACTGGTTAGAGCATGGGCTGCCGAGCAGATAACTCAGGTTCAGTCAGTGTCCAGCATCCACATGGCAATTCACAATCACTTGTAACTCAAGTTACAGGAGATCTAGGGCCCTCTTCTGGTCTCTGCCAGTTCCAGGTATGTATATGATACATATGATACATACATGCAGACAAAACACTCAAACCCATAAAATAAACTTTTTTTTTGAAAAGAAAGGGAAAATATGGCAATGCATATTTTGCCTTAGAACCTGCTCTCACTCCCAGTTCTTTGACTTTTATGGGTATTCAAGTTGAAAGTAAGCTTTTGGTTCTGGGCCAGGATCAGGAGGTTCTGGTGAGGTAGTATATATTATTCAAGTGCTGTCCTGGAATTGTTCATACTTCTGTAAGTTCCTCTGGTGGTGTTGGTCTTTTTTTTTATTTTTATTTTTAGTTTTTATTTTACATGTTGATCCCAGTTCCCTCTTCCTCCCTCTCTCCCTCCCTCCCTCCACCCCTCTCCCACTCCCTTCCTTCATCCCTCCATCCCTCCCTCCCTCTTACCCTCTCTCCCCCCTCACAGGCACCCTGACCACCCTTCCCTCCCATCCCCCCACCCCAATTCCACATGTAGGGCAATGCCATCCAGGTGGGGTCATGTAAATCTGTCAAGTCATTTGAAGTAGGGACTAGGACTTCTCTCCTGTCTGTAGGTTAGGCAGTATCCCTCCATGGGGCATGTGTCCACAAGGTCTTTTTGTGCACCAGGAATACATCCTGGTTCCACTGTCTGAGGTCCCTTAGGCTTCTAAGTCCTTCTAGCCGAGACCCATATTCAGGGGTTCTGGTCAGTCCCATGCTGGATTCTCAGCTATCAGTCTGGGGCCCGTTAGCTCCTCCTTGTTCAGGTCAACTGTCTCTATGTGTTTTTGTAACCTGGTCTTGTCCTCTCCCTCTGCATCTGGATTCTAGTTCGACTCAGTGTTTATGTGTGGGTGTTTGCTTCTGTTTCCAACAGGTACTAGATGAGGGCTCCATGATGGTGGATAAGTTAGTTGTTGATCTCACTATCCGGGAAGGGCATTTATGGTAGCCTTTCTATAGTTGCTCAAATTTTTAGTTGGCGGCAGTCTTGTAGGTCTCTAGACCTTTCTTTAGGTTCAGTTTTCTCTTCAAACCAATAATGGCTCCCTCTTTTATGATTGTTCTCTCTCTCTCTTTCCTTTCTTCTATTCCTAACCTGACTCAATCTTCCTAGTCGCATGTGCTTTCCTCTCCTCCCCTTCTCTTTCTCCTACATCTCTCTCCATTCACTGCCCCTCCCCCACTTCCCATGTGCTCTGGGGGACTTGTCCCTTCCCCCTTCTGTGAGGGACTTTATATGAATCTCTTAGAATACACCTTGTATCCTAGTTCCTCTGGTGGTATGAATTATAGCCTGGTGATCCTTTGCTCTGTGTCTAAAATCCATATATGAGCGAGTACATGGTCTTTTTAAACAGCTCCAATGAGCACATATTACACTTGAAATCAAAGCACCAGGAACTCTCTTTCCATCCTTCTCTGTTTTGTGTGAATTGGAGAGTCTAAGCATTAGGAACCCCCTTTCAGTCCTTGTCTGTGCTAGTGTGAATTGGAGATTACAACCATGTTTTCCTTGAAGAGTTTACTTTTTGGGGAAAAAAGAGAGAAATCTGCTACTTAGAGCATTTTTTATCTGCTCTGTTTTTCTTTTGTCCTGATCTTATGGTTCTAACACCAGGAATCACGGTGTAAACTTGTATATTTTTTAAAATACTTAATATGAGCCACAATATGAAAATCAGTATCATTAGAAACCAAAGCACTACAGCTTAGAGTAGGTTCTGTATTTTGCTAATGTTTAATATTCTCCTTTTGTAGAGATATATACATATACATACATACATGTATGTATGTATGTGTGTATGTATGTATGTATATATCCAAGTCTTAAGCAAGCCCAACTCTACTTAGTAATTTTTCTGGAGTGTTGGCTCTTGGAACAAGTTGTATCAGTTGAGCAGGGCTGATGTTGGAAATAGAAAACTGATGGGGGACAATAATGAAAGTTCCAGAAACACCACAAGGAAAAAGAATTAATTCCCCACTGAGTTCATATCGCCAGTTTTGGAAACTATGCCACCCCCACCAGGAACGTAGCAAAGTAAGATCCAAGAACCTCCTCTCAGAAAGGAGTACATGCTACTCTTCTT